TCACATTTGTCTGTCACATGTCTTGCTGGACACAAGTCTTGCTGGACAGAAGTCTTGCTGGACACAAGTCTTGCTGGACACATGTCTTGCTGGACACATGTCTTGCTGGACACAAGTCTTGCTGGACACAAGTCTTGCTGGACACAAGTCTTGCTGGACACAAGTCTTGCTGGACACAAGTCTTGCTGGACACAAGTCTTGCTGGACACATGTCTTGCTGGACACAAGTCTTGCTGGACACATGTCTTGCTGGACACATGTCTTGCTGGACACAAGTCTTGCTGGACACCAGTCTTGCTGGACACAAGTCTTGCTGGACACATGTCTTGCTGGACACAAGTCTTGCTGGACACAAGTCTTGCTGGACACAAGTCTTGCTGGACACAAGTCTTGCTGGACACAAGCTGGACACAAGTCTTGCTGGACACATGTCTTGCTGGACACATGTCTTGCTGGACACAAGTCTTGCTGGACACCAGTCTTGCTGGACACAAGTCTTGCTGGACACATGTCTTGCTGGACACAAGTCTTGCTGGACACAAGTCTTGCTGGACACAAGTCTTGCTGGACACAAGTCTTGCTGGACACAAGCTGGACACAAGTCTTGCTGGACACATGTCTTGCTGGACACAAGTCTTGCTGGACACAAGTCTTGCTGGACACAAGTCTTGCTGGACACAAGTCTTGCTGGACACAAGTCTTGCTGGACACAAGTCTTGCTGGACACAAGTCTTGCTGGACACAAGTCTTGCTGGACACAAGTCTTGCTGGACACAAGTCTTGCTGGACACAAGTCTTGCTGGACACAAGTCTTGCTGGACACATGTGCTGGACACATGTCTTGCTGGACACAAGTCTTGCTGGACACATGTCTTGCTGGACACAAGTCTTGCTGGACACAAGTCTTGCTGGACACATGTCTTGCTGGACACAAGTCTTGCTGGACACAAGTCTTGCTGGACACAAGTCTTGCTGGACACAAGTCTTGCTGGACACATGTCTTGCTGGACACATGTCTTGCTGGACACAAGTCTTGCTGGACACAAGTCTTGCTGGACACATGTCTTGCTGGACACAAGTCTTGCTGGACAGATGTCTTCCTGGACACAAGTCTTCCTGGACACAAGTCTTGCTGGACACAAGTCTTGCTGGACACAAGTCTTGCTGGACACAAGTCTTGCTGGACACAAGTCTTGCTGGACACAAGTCTTGCTGGACACAAGTCTTGCTGGACACAAGTCTTACTGGACACAAGTCTTGCTGGACACAAGTCTTGCTGGACACAAGTCTTGCTGGACACAAGTCTTGCTGGACACAAGTCTTGCTGGACACATGTCTTCCTGGACACAAGTCTTGCTGGACACAAGTCTTGCTGGACACAAGTCTTGCTGGACACAAGTCTTCCTGGACACATGTCTTGCTGGACACAAGTCTTCCTGGACACAAGTCTTGCTGGACACAAGTCTTCCTGGACACATGTCTTGCTGGACACAAGTCTTCCTGGACACAAGTCTTACTGGACACAAGTCTTGCTGGACACAAGTCTTGCTGGACACAAGTCTTGCTGGACACAAGTCTTGCTGGACACAAGTCTTGCTGGACACAAGTCTTGCTGGACACAAGTCTTGCTGGACACAAGTCTTCCTGGACACATGTCTTGCTGGACACAAGTCTTGCTGGACACAAGTCTTGCTGGACACAAGTCTTCCTGGACACATGTCTTCCTGGACACAAGTATTATCATGCTCTTCCTAACCCAAAACGAATCATTCCAGTTTTTCTTTTCAATTTGACTGAATTCCTCAGCTGACAATCAGTTCAACTGTCAATCTGCTGTCAACTGTCTGTCTGTCAAACTCTTCGTCTGTCTTTAATGCAAAGTGTTTGATGTCAAGGGCTTCTGCTATGGTAAATCTTCAATTTTCGCGGTACATAAGAGGGGAAACTCCTCTAGATGTACCACCAGAGCACCCACTAGAGGCAGGTGTCGTAACTTCTTCAAGACGCCTCCTGGGAAATCCACCGTTCGTAACACTTCAGGTAAGAAAGTTTGTGTTGATTAAGCCCTCGCTAAAGTTAACTTTAATTAGCGCAGGTAAGAAGGGCATATACGAGCACGGCCCAAGTTATCATATTGTCTTGAAGTTGTTATTAGTTCACCTGGTGTACCTTGTGGTACCTGGGGTACCTTGTGGTACCTGGGGTACCTTGTGGTACCTGGGGTACCTTGTGGTGCCTGGTGTACCTTGTGGTGCCTGGGGTACCTTGTGGTGCCTGGGGTACCTTGTGGTACCTGGGGTACCTTGTGGTGCCTGGTGTACCTTGTGGTGCCTGGTGTACCTTGTGGTACCTGGGGTACCTTGTGGTACCTGGGGTACCTTGTGGTACCTGGGGTACCTTTGGTACCTTGTGGTACCTGGTGTACCTTGTGGTGCCTGGGGTACCTTGTGGTACCTGGGGTACCTTGTGGTACCTGGTGTACCTTGTGGTGCCTGGGGTA